GCAGAAACTTGTTGACAGGTCAGACTATGAGCCAAGGAAAAGATCTCCTCATAGAACTCTAAAACAAACAGAATCTAGGTAAATTTAATGCCAAGCCTACAGACTTAAAAAATAAGCCAACAAAATTACAAATACCTAATACATGCTGCTGCAAAACTGTTCCAATAACTTGTAAACAGATCCCTTCCAGCTGCTGGGTAATCTGAAAAAAGGAAATTTATGACTGTTTTCAATGGAGTTGACATTAAACACATCTTAAATAAAGTAACTCAAAGCAGTTTCTATTTAGACAATATAGTCTTCTAAAAAAAATTCAAATGATTTCTCACATTTTAGAGCACTAAATGTGTAAAAGCAGCACTTTTTAGCTAAGGATTTGTAAGATAGCTATTAATACAAGGTGGTTTTGGAATATTATTTGAATATTGGAAAAATCTCATTATAGGATAACTTTTAAAAAGAAAACCCTGACAGTAACCCTATGCAACAGTTCAGTACCGTTAAAACACAGTAAGTAAATGTATATATCAAAGGGGTAAGCAATGGAAGTTGCACAAAGTATTTGCTGTTCCGGAAAAGTGAAATTTCAAAAACCAAACCCAAACAAATACCAAACCACTTCCTAAACCTAGCTTAGGATGTTCACACGGTATGTGGACAATCAGTCTTGCTCTACAGATTCAGACACTCTTCCCAAATTGTATTTATTAGTCCCTGGAGCAGCTAACAAAACAGTCATTATCCTGTTTAGGGCACTTACCTTGCGCAAGGACAAATACGGGTTGAGCTTCTGGTCTCAGCTATGCAGAATAGGATTTGAAACTAACCAGCTAAATACCTTATCTCTTGGAACACTGGTCATCCTGTGTGAGATGTCTCTAAATATAAATGTTTACTGATCAATGTTTTACAATTTAGTTCCTCAGGACTAGCATACTGTTACACAAACTTTTAATTTAGATAGTAAGAATTTGCTGACAAAAACAAGTACATGAAAAGCTTGCTGAGCAGCTTTAGCAACAAGTAAATGACTGAACTGATCCTTGGTTTATTGCATGGCAGCACCAGATTCTGACCTTTGGCATCCAGAATTCGTACTATGCTGCTTCCTTAGTAAAGTCTTCAGAGCCCTGAGAGTCCAGTTTATTACTGAACTGTTTAGTCACTATAAACCTATAATCTATTTATCAAAAAACCAGTAGCTGGCTTTCTCAAGAAGGATTTTTATCAACAATAGCATCTTTCGAATGAGCTGTACTCTGGACAGAAGTTAGTCCGTTCAGTACAACAAAACTAAATAACAAGTTTTCATCACACTGGAGAATTCTGCAGTGCAAATTAGGCAGGTAAACAAGACTATCATTTAGTATAGCCACAACAGCTGTATGCATAGGCATCGATTCTGTTGCACAGAGCAAATTAAGTCAGCAGAGACAATGTTCAAAGCTAACTGATGTTTTAACTATTTTCTCTGAAGAGCAGACCTCATCATATCAGATGAGTTTTCGCAGCTGAGCTGACAGAGTTCCACCTGTTAGAGACAAGTTGCTTCCACATTTTTTAACAAGAACCCAGATTTTTATGGGAAATACTGTGGCAACATTTATGCCTTATTACTACACATACTGTGTCAGAAATGTGACCCACTCTGTTACAACTTTATTGTGTAAGTGCTTCACTGTTTCCTGTTTTAAGATATTTTTGGCTGAAAGGACAGTTTTTCAGGTAGCAGTACCAGGAACACCAGAACTACAAAGGACTTGCAGCGTCTTAAACAATATATATTAGCTTTAAAGTTATTTTTACTTACTTCCTTGTGATCTTCAACCACACTGAGAAGTGTATCAATAGTATTCAAGATTCCCATTGCTGTCACTGCTTTGTCATCACTGCCCTCTTCATCTGGTCCAGTCTGGATCACCTGGTTAAATGTCATTGCCTGCATGTAATAGCAAAACAACCCATAAATATGTCATTTAACTGACATTTAACTGTTTGGAGATTAAGAACAATTGTGCAAGTCTGGTATTCTACACAATTTAAGGAGGACTTCTGCTAAGAAAAAGTATATGAATATTAGAATAAAAAGACATAAATTACATTAGTTTCCATGAAAAAGAATAAATTTTCTATGAGTAAAGTTTTTCTGACACAAGATTTAATTGGTTGAACTAGACTGGACCACTTTGCAGGCATTCCCAGAGAGGACAAACAATTTAATTTCAACTCCAAGGCAAGGGCCTTTAATAGGGAAGCACTGAGCTGACCTCTGCTTTTGAAACCATTAGCACAACTTGCTAGATACAGCTGTTCAGGCTCTGAATTTTTCCTGCAAATTAAATTTTATTTTCACATTACATACAACATAACATTATTTTCACACCAAAATTTTGTTAAAAATCTGCTCTTTAATTTCCCATTTTAGAACAGAAAATCTAAGTCACATTGTAGAGACTACCTAAAATGTGCTACCAAAAATTAATTATTAACACTATCAGGAGAAAATATGTATAAAAATTTTTCAAATATTTCTACAATCGTTCTTCGAAATTTTCATTTTGTTCAAGTTATGAAGCCACTTTTGAGAAAAAACAGTCTGAACGTAGAAGAAAATTACTGCACTTAAGCAGACTGGAGTAACAACAGCTATTGATTGACAGACAACTATCTTAATTTTAAATACCAATCTGGCACATATTCAACATCTTCCTAAGTCATCAGAAAGTCTTACCAAATGCTGTGTCATTTCTACTGCAATTGGGGTAACTTCTTCACTATATTCACAGATCATCTTCTGAATCACATTAGTAAGATCATCATTTTCAGTCTCTCTTATAATATGGAGTAAAGCTTGCATTACTGGTCTAATGAATGGAGTAATATATTCTTTAGCTGTAAAACAAGTGGAAATATTTGAATTGACATTCTTACAAAACTACAGTATAAGACAGTCAATATATACTTTATTAATATTTAGTGCTTCAGCATTAATATGTCAAAACCATGGGTAGTATAAATCTTACTAACAATACTAACATTCAGAACAATTTTTTAATAAAAATGTATACCAAGAGGATCACAACTGAAGTATGAAAATCAGAGATCTAAAGACTGCATGGAATGCAAGATTACTTATCAATGCAAATTTTAATTTGAACAGGAAGAGGTACATATGCATTTTTGTCAAATCTGCTGAAGTATTTGATATAGAACTTATATTTGTTTTGGGGCTTTTATGTCAGCTTCAGGAATACTAAGCAATGTAAACCCTGCTAGGATAAAGAAAACTTTTTTTAAAAAAATAAATTTGAACATGAATGAATGTATGCTGAGACCGATATATCACCACTGTATTCCTCATTCAGTGATTAGGTACCGTATAACTGATTTTATTGTACCATGAAACTGTGATGTTATTTATAAAATTTTTGCAGCTGAAAAATTACAATAAGTGATTACAAATTACAATTGCAAGAAGTAAATTAACATCATGAAAGAAGAGAACAAGTCTCCCTGAACATTGCAATATTAATGCCTATTCCAGTAAAGCTTGCTGTAGCTTTAAGAAAATAGGACTACCTTTCTCTTGATTACTGATCAGAACTTGAAGTGCTATTGCAGCTTCCACTTTTACAGGCATTTCCCTATCATCTATCAGACACCGTCTTGTGAGTTCTAAAGCTGTCTGGAGATTCTGGTCACTCTTAAATTTGACTTCACAAAAATAATGAAGAACCCAACAAGCCTGGAAAAAAGACATCGAACAAATTCAGAGTTACAAAACCTACAAACAGGATTATTGACTACTTGTATACCCACAACCCTCACAGATTATTAAATCTGAAGTACAACTAATGTTGAACAAAGATACTGTAAAACTCTGATAGATGAAGATGTTTGAGATTGTGGAGGCTGGCCACTGGGAGGCTTGTCTTACAGACATCACCAGACCAGTACTATGATCTCAAGTTCGTCTTTGGCCACAGGTTTTGTGTGAGCAGTACAGTCTAAATGCAAAACACAAGCAGACCATACCACCAGACACAGATGGAAACTATGCACACAATTCTGCAGCCATTTTAAAATTACACAGTAGCTATCTACAATCACATGTAAAGACTAGTACTAATCTCTGAAATAAGCATACAATTTATTACAGAACAGGTGCAGAGAGGAGTGCATTTGTTAGAGGGAAAAATATAAAGAATATTCCTGAACTCTTCAGCTGGATCAGACAGTTTATCTTAACAGTAAATCTTACACCTTCTTACCCGTGCTCGCATGTAACCCAGCTCACTGCTGAAGAGAGGGAACACATGATTCTGCAGCATATACTCCATCTGATCTTTATATATCTTCTTCTGTCAGAATATGAATAGAAACACATCAGTTTAAAACTTTATGTAAAAATGCATTTTTAATCCAGTAAAAATGTCATATATAAAAGTGTGAACAGCATAACAAAACCCTCAGACTTTTAACTTCCTCCTTTATTAAAGTCTGTTAAGCAACAATGAAATCCCATATTAGTAATTAAACTTGCATCCTACATCGACTTTTATAATTTTCAGTCAAAATAGTGACACTTTCTTCCTATCATTTTTTGACTCCTCGAGACACTTTTTGCTTGGCAGTACATTACTCTGGTATCAAAAGCAAAAGTGGTCAGGGAAACTTCTGAGAGTCATGATCCAAATACAAGTCCATACCCTGCATCTGTTTTACAACCATTCTAATTGAGCAAGGTTGCTAATTTCACTTTATTTCCTATCTTCTCTACACAGAAAAGATCTCATTAAATCAACAGCCCCACACTGGATGGATTTTTTTCCTTTCTTCCACAAAAAAATGGAATGTAGTTAAGTGTAGCACAGGAAACGATGTAGCAATTCTTACTAGAAGCAGAGAACTTAAAGGAACTTAAAACAATCATCTTAACTTGAACATGACCTAATAGAACTTGTGTAATTAAGCTGAAAACAAAACCAAAGCAATTAAATTCAACAGCTTTAAAAAAACCCCTGTAAACTCAATGAGCTATTCTCATTTCTTCTGAGACACTATATGTGAAAGAAAGGAAAAGAGGGAAAAAAGAACCAAAAGAACCTGTAAACTCAATGAGCTATTCTCATTTCTTCTGAGACACTATATGTGAAAGAAAGGAAAAGAGGGAAAAAAGAACCAAAAGAACCACCAGATTTGTTATGCTTACTTTTAGGAGAATTTCAGCCAAAGAACCAATCATATGTAAAGCACCATCCTTCTTACGAGGGTCAGCATTTGGCTCCGTAAGGATCTGATAACAAAAGCCCATTGTCTTCTGCAAGACCTAGATTACATTGAAGGTTAGTCACAATATTTCAGTCAATCGTTTCAGGTACCAGTCTCAGTACTCTGAAATGCTTAAATCTCTAATAACAATAACGTGCTCCAAGTCTGGAATTTGGATAATATTTTAATAGCAAGTAAAAGTAAATGAGAGGAATGATAAATTTTAGTGTATTTTGATACGACAGAGCAGAAAATGAAAACTTTTATTAGTAGTTCTTTCAGCAAATGGAGACTATAAGCTAAATCTAATTAATGTATTTAAGTAAAATTCTTGAACAGATTACCTCTTTCCGTTTACTACATGATGTAAACAATAACGTCTGAGCAGCAGTTGTGGGAGAAATGAAGTCTTCAAATACATCTATTAAGTAAACATATAGCAGCTATAAATTTTGTTTCTTTACTACAGTTCATGATCTTAATGTAATCTAATGATTTAATATGAAATAAAAAGAACAACAATATTCTTTTCAGGTGATTAATTATGCTTTCTTACTACAGTTATTCCAAGACCAAACAACGGTAACAAATGGCTGGAGATTCCTGACACGTTTCACCTTTTTCGCGATCACTGGCTCTACGTGTCTGATTTGAAATTGTACATCTTCCTTAATTTTAAGATAAACCTGTTCTAACAATAGAAGCAAGACACGGCAGTCAATTTTTCACATATATGTTATTTGCTGTACAGGCAAGCACACATAATTGATGAGTTAAATATGCTTAGTTTCTTATTTCTATGCAGAAGATTATCAGAGCCTTGTATAATACCTGTACTGTTTACAGGTCTGACTCTGAACTGAGGGATAAGAAACTCCAAAACCCATCAAGATTCCTTGTTCTAGCCACATAAAAGTCCTAGTGGAAGGAAGAACTTGTTCAGGAAGTCCAAAGTATATTCATTCTTCCCCAGCCTGAAAGGACTGCACAGACTGATGTAAACCCCAAAAACAAAGTACCAAGCCACAGGAGATGAAATTACACCTAAGTCTGGAATGCTAGGCTTACTTCATAATGTTTCATTTACTATTACAGTAAATCTGTTCTGAACTATGCCATGTGTGAAATTCCTTAAGATCGTAAAAAGTCCAGAGCCTGAAATATTAGCTGTTGTAAAGCATAAACTTTTAATAACATTAAACATATGTAATTATTGCTAGCAAGACCTGGACTGTTTGACTTATCAAACTAAAAACTCTGTAACTGTCAAAATTAGCTATGTTTTGAAGTGCAGAAACACCTATGTCATTGTTGATTGTCATATGTTATCTGTCATTTCCACCAGTATATCCAAAAGTTCACTATATGAAGTTACAGTATTTGGACAATACAAACTGTTTTTCTTCTCCTTTTAAAGACTAAAGCCATCTCTATTTTCACAAAAAACTACAAAAATCCCATCTTTGTGTGAATTTATATTTTAACATGAGTAGATTTCAAATTCTCACCAAATTTCATGCGAATATATTCATACGGATCTTCTTGCCAAAGCTCTTCATCAGCATCTGTATAGCACATCAATGGAAAAATAACATCTTGGATAATTCCCTGCAACAAAGAAAAAAGTTGGAATGAAGCTAGCATTACTAAATTAATCTCTACATGCTGTCCTGTATTTCACAGATTTTGTCCATCCTGTCACTTCTCATACAAAAAAATTGGCTAGCTTTGCTCATGTATCAAGATAACACTCACCAAACAGGCCTAAACTCTTTCCACCAGCAATTTATAATAGCAGTCCCTAAAACTTGAATTCTAGCAAGGCTAAAAACACTGTACAACACACTGACTAATGTACCACTGAGTCATCTAAGTATTAAGGCCTGAAAGTGGTTTACTTGAATATGAGGTTTCAGATTCTTCCAGGTGACTGCATGTGACACTCCTTGATTGATGTAATTCAGTGTTTGCTGCAGAACTCTAGGAGCCATGTACTGCTTTTCCTTGTATTGATACAACACCTTCAGCAACACCTAGAAAAATCAGATCTCATCAATAGCTTATACTGAGCACAGACCATTTTAAAGAGAAGAATTCTACCCTCCCTCACAATCCTACATAAGAACCCATCTAAATACAACAACCCCCCCCCGTTTATTCATTAGACTAAAATGGGTACTGACTAATACTTCTACTAAATGTCATTGCTAATTTTATAAAGCAATTTGCAGCTTGTATCAGGTGCTGCACATCTTTTATAAACACAATCCTTTAACAAGACAAAACATACATGCCAATTCATCACCAGCATAGCCCATGGGACCTTTTCCTCTAAGGTTTATTATCCCATCCTGCCACATTTTAGGGGCAGAAATTCATGCCCAAACACTGCACTGGTAAAATACACTTCAGGCAGTCTACCGACTCTTGCCTATGTGCAGCCTTACAATAATGACGCTGTACGAAGAATGCATGTGTATGAAGAACGATGAACCAGCCTCTCCCCTTGGCTTTTTGGCCTCAATTCTTCTGAGGTGGCATTCAGAACTATTCACAGGGATTTACATTTGTCCATGGTTCTTCAGGAATAAGGACATGAAATGGACATGAGACCATTACTAGTAATTAAATTCCAGGTCACAGGAAAGTTTCGTATGGGTAACGCAAGGGGGTTTCCTTGTAACCCAATCCGGGTCAGTGGCAACACTGCACCTCCAAGAGCAGCAGCACCAACTGGAGAGAAATGACAAATTCCATTTCCAGGTTTTCACTTAATTCTTCATATAAGACAATGTTTTTAAAACATCTGAGACTGAAGGAACTGAAAAGATATCCATCAATCTGTACTTTCACCAAGAAAACATTTCGGGGAAATCAGATTCATTATTTTGAAAAGTAATTCCATTGATAACATTTATTACACAAGCACTGAAGCCTTCTTCCCAAAGGAGATGCCTTGCACTTGAGTTTAAATTTAACCATGAAATTTGTATTTTTACAAGTGGTTTTATGCTCTAGATGCATTAGCAGCCCTCAAAGTTTAACTGTTTGTGTTTAAAAGCCTCCCGGACTTCAGAAAAAAATTACTGGTTGTTACCCTCACCTGAGTATAAGGCTTTGGTGGCATTAGATATTGACTTAGGATAGGAAAGGAAAAAAGAGCAAATGTTCAGACTTGCAGCTGTTTCAAGGATTATCAAAGAATACACATGTCAAAATTCCTTTTTAGTCTCTTGTGAACTAACTAAACCAGAAAATTATTCTCTGCAAAAACAATACCTTAAGTGACAGATGTTTGTAACTTCCAAAATCAGTAAAACAGGAGTACATGGTAAGACTAACATGCTTCTTGAAGTTGGAACAATTAAGAATGTTAATCGTTAAAAGAGTCTAACAAACTGGTAACAAAATTGATTAAACACGTAAACAATTCTGCAACATATTTAACTTCCTTCATCACATGCCTTAGTCTTTCCAGAAGTATTTGGAAAACTAACGAAGACTGAGATTTCTTGGTCTTACACAGAGTACATGACACTCCAAAGACTGACTTCCTTTATAAATTTTAACACAAGCAACAAAGAAATTAACCTTTGAGTATATGATGTTAACACAGTACTTTTATAATGCATGGATCCGAAACGCGCTCCATGGCCTAAGTCACACCATGGTGGCAACTCAGGAAAGATTTAAAAAATATAAATTACGGGTTCTTTGTTGTAGGCAAAAGTATTAATCCTGGGTCTTTAGCAAATTAGAACTTAACATACAGCAATACAATCTTCTCTGTGGAACAAGAAGGTTCAGGTAGCTGGTGTATTTGAATTTTAGAAGGATATGAAGTTTCTTTTTTTTTTTTTTTTTCTCTGAGAAAGAGAGATTCTCCAATGTAACAGGACAGCACACAGAAAAGCCTAAATTCATTAACAGTCAATGAAGAGATGGGGAATAGTCCTTGGAAATGAGGACAAAGCCGAGGCCTAACAAATGGTCTTTGCAGCCATGCTTACTTAGGACAAGTGCTTTGGTCCTCTCTTTTCACAAATCTAAGCAGTTTCATGATTCAGGTGCAATGAGAAATTGAAAACATGAAGAAAAAGTTTAAGAACTGCAGTAAGGAAAAGCAGGATGTGGGATGGAAGCTCCAGGGCAAATAAAAAAAATTCTGCAACTGTGTCAAACAACCAGGCAGTAGCGTTCAACTAGGGCTTAGTTCTGGCTCATCAGGTCTTTCAAAATGAGAAATGTCTTGAGCAAAACAGCTGCTAACACAAGGCATAAGAATCAAGGTATTCCAGCTAGGCAGCTCAGCCTGTTTTGGACAGGCTTAAGAAAGTTTAGCTAGAACTAATGTTGAATGTACTGCCTTTTTTTTGTGTTGGTGACATGCACATGACAAAAAAAATATAGAGTAGATAAAAAGAATGATCAATGGGAAGTAATTATGAAAATAGTATTAGCAGTATATCTTAAGTTTATACTTGAATAACCTGTAATCCCATACCATATATTTATCTATTACTTCTTTAGTAAAAGGGTGCGTACACTTTGAAGAGTAAAGAGAACTCAGTCAAGCATATTATCAGAATTTGTATTCTTCAGTATTTCACAGATTTCCCATTTTTGTAAAGAAATACATCCTACTCAAAAATCTTCCATAACATTTATCTGAAGGATTAAATTTCTTCATCATACATCCAAGATTTATCTTTCGCACAGAAATAAAGGACAGCACCTTAATCTGTACTTCTAAACAAGTTACATTATTGTATATGAAGAAACTGTAAGCACTTTAAAGTCTTGCCTTTTAGCAATTTATTTTAAAGAACTGAATTCTTGGTGTTTACTAGATGCAATTAACAGCAAGGATCAAATTTAATTCAAAGATAATGTAAAGAAAAAACACAAAGTATTTTGTTGAACTGTTTAATTTTATCTTTTCAAAGACATCTTTCGCACACAGAGTCTTTTGTCAGAACTTAATTTTATCTTGGAAATGCAAAGCAACCAGTAAGGTCTTAAAGAACATGTAAAAGTTATCTGTCTGATGTCATGTACAGGTGACAGATGAGCACCTCAGAAGGTGATGCTGACTCCACTTATCCGAGCATGACAAATGTTCTTTTCCATTTCAATACTTTGGATGACATTCTAAAAACATGCATTTAGGAGATACTTTCCCT